ACACACACCCACACACACACACACACACACACACACACACACACACACACACACACACACACACACACACGAGGACTTTAAAGTGTGGCCTGGATAGTCCAACAATGGTTGTCTCCAGATGGAAAGGCCAAAAATTCACTAGTTATTCAGTCCACAAGACTGTATGTCTCAACGGTTCCAAATCTGGTGCTGGAATCTGGAAAGATTCCTAGAGAACTGCTGGTTTTCAGTCTGTGTTGGAATCCTGAAGAAGTAGATTCTAATACTGACAAGAGGTAGGGCAAGGACTTCTCTTTCTCCATGTCCTTTTATATAGGGTACCACCAGGTGTGACCCAGATTGTAATTGTTCTTCTGACCTCAGATCCAGTCAAGAAAATCCCTTACAAAGCCCACAGTAGAGATGCAAGCCTTTTAATCTCAGTACTTGGGAGGCAGAGGTATGAGGATCTTTAGATATGACTTCAAAGACAGCCTGGTCTACGTAACCAGCTCCAAGACAGCCAGGACTACATAGAGAGACCCTGACAAGACATCCACTGATCACATAATTAAAATAACCAAAAGGACAGATGAGAAGCGTGTACTATCTATTTCCCAGGTATCACAGAGGAACAGTGTTTCTGTCACCAGTTGAAAATGTAGTCTGCACCCCTTGAAAAGTGTGGGCAGACATGAGTGGAATTAATGGAATTCCAGGGGTGACAACTGAGGAAGGATGTAGCTATGAAGTCCTGGAGAAGGCAGGAGGGTGTGTAAAGACTGGCAGAAGAGGGCTGTGTGGTTCGGGAGGATTTCTCCAGGGCGCTTTTGACCCACAGTGTATATTTTAGTCTATTCTTATTTCTATTGTGGTCTTTGTAGGGAAAAAATGTATTGAACTAGAGAAAAAACGGCTCTCTCAACCTAAGCCAAAACTTAAAAAGAAGAAAAAACCCACCTTGCGACTACCTGTAAAGCAAGATTCATCCATTGGCAATGAAGAAGAGAGTATAAGGGAGAACTCAGGACCCATTGAGAACGGTGTGTCAGACCAGGATGGTGAGGAGGAAGCCCAAGAGCCAGAGTTGCCACCGTCTCCAGTGGGTAGGTGCTTCTAAAACACTGTCTCACTTGTGTATTGATGTAACATGTCCTTCCTCAGTATGACGCTTCTGTATCAGTTGAGACTTTGCAAACCAGGTTAGTATTGTTTAAAGGGGTTTGGTTTGATTTTAAATATTTATTTTTGTTTCGTGTGTATGAGTGTTTTACCTGCATCTATGCCTATGTACCACAAGAGTGCCCGGCCCATGGAGGCCAAAAAGAGCATTGGGTTCCCTAAAATTGGAATTATGGACAGTTGTAAGCTGCCATATGGATGTTAGGAACTGAACCCAGGTCTTTTGCAAGAATAGCCAATGCTTTTAGATTCTGAGTCATCTCTCCATATTGTTATCTTTTTTTTCTTTTTTTGGTTTTTCGAGACAGGGTTTCTGTGTAGCTTTGGAGCCTATCCTGGCACTGGCTCTGTAGACCAGGCTGGCCTTGAACTCACAGAGATTCGTCTGCCTCTGCCTCCCGAGTGCTGGGATGAAAGGCCTGTGGCACCAACACCCAGCTCTCCATATCTTTAAAAGGTTAAGTCTAAACACCACTTAGAAATATTACAAGAGATGTAGTGGATGATTGGGATGGATCAGCAATACACAGAAGGTGGTAAGACCATGGGGCACAGTGAGATAGAGCAGTGTGTGCTCAGAGGCATGTGTGGAGAGGAGGACACATCTGTGAAAGGAAGCACTGTCCCTTGAACAGTTGACCATAAATGTTCCTATTTATTTGGGAATGAGCAAGTTTCCCCTGCCCAGCCTAATGTTGTGCCACTGTGAAAAGACATCACAACCAAGGCAAATCTTATTTTATATAACAAAACGAAACTCTTAATTGGGAGTTTACTTACAGGTTCAGAGGCTTAGTCCATTATCATCATGTCAGCACTCATGGTTCTGGATCAGTAGCTGAGAGCTACATGCTGATCCACAGGCACCTATATGAGCTGTGGGGGCCATTCTTATTCAAACCACCACGAAGGGTCAGTTTTTTTCTTCTTGTCAGTTCTGCTATATCATTTCTCAGATTCTCGTGGAATGCATGTGTCACTAGCTCTCATTGTAACCTTGTGCATGTTTGAAGAGAAATGGTTTATAGATAAAAATAGCACTTTTATTCTCTTAATACTTCAAATATCTTGTGTTTATATCTATTAAAATGAATGATTAAATACCAGAGAGGATAAACTGGTTTAGGATTGTGGATGTCAAATGTACCTGCTGTTTTCTATTAGGGAAGCCTAAGATATCTGACAAGTGACTTGTCCTATGAGCAGTTTCCAAACCAAATGTCTGAATGATAGGCGTAGTGATACCTGAAACACAGTCTGTGAAACATGGTTTCTGCAATTGCCTTGCTGAGCCTGTTAACACTCTTAAAACAGTAACTAGACCCTACAGTGTGTTTTGAAACAGATTCTCACTCTGTAACCACGGTTGGTGTCCTGGGATTCATCCTGCCTCAGTATCCAGAATGCTGAGGTTACAGGCTTGAATTCCCTTGCCTACTGCCTTTCTGTATTGTTCTTGTCTCAAACTTTTTTTTTTTTTTTCCCCTGATGTAGTTGCTGGTGAAGCTGTTTCCTGCACTGCTGTTTCCATGGGTTTTGAAAAGTCAAAAGTCACAGTTAGTAACAAAGCCACCTCACTAAAAAAGGAGCCACCTAAAGAGAAGCCAGGTCAGTATCTTCTGTGAACACATCTTACCAAATATTCCTAAGACATTCTGTGCCCAAGAGAGCATGGAATGTCTTATAGATGTTGATACCACTGTGAATGTTAGCAGAGCATTTTGCATGTTTTGTGTCCCTGCACCAGCTGGTGGAGTGTAAAGGCTGTTGTCTGGGAGTGGCTTGCTCAGTGCTGCCCTCCTGTAGGCAGCCCCCACACTGCCCACATTTGCATTCCTTCAGCTCTGTCTCTGGTCTGTTTTTCTGAAACCATGTGCTGTTGTTGCCTTTCAGATGCCTTGCTCAAGAAGAGGAAGGCTCGCTCCATGCTCCCCCTGAGCACAAGCTTAGATCACAGATCCAAAGAGGAGCTCCATCGAGACTGTTTGATACTAGCAACTGCAACACATGCCAAAGGTACCAAGCACTGCTTCTTGCACCTGTGCGCACACAGTTGATAATAGTGCTGTGTGTTAAGTAAATAAACAAGTCTAAGGTTACTACTGCCTCTACTTTTCTCCAAGCTTTTCTTATATTTGCCCTGCCTGCCCCACTGCCATGCCCCTATCTTGTAGTCACTGCTCCCAGTATCCTCCCTCTGATTCTGTCACCCAGCCAGCCATCTTTGTGCCATGTTTGTCAAGGCACCTACACATCTCTGTATAAATTTGCTTTCCATTCTTCCCTACCAGTGTCTTTAGAGATGCCCCATAGCATGGCAGTTGCTTTAAGGTATTTGATGGAGGGTTTTTTGTTTGTTTGTTTGTTTGTTTTTTGTCTCTCGAGACAGGGTTTCTCTGAATTGCATTGGAGGTTGTCCTGGAACTCACTTTGTAGACCAGGCTGGCCTCAAACTCATGGAGATCCGCCTGCCTCTGCCTCCCATGTGCTGGGATTAAAGGTGTGCGCCAGCAACTCCCGGCAGAGGTTTTATTTTTTAAATGATTGTTGGTTTTGTTTGTCACAGCTCAGTATTTTGGTATTTGAGTGACTTGGTACTTTTATTATGAATTTGAATTTTTTTTTTGGCTTTTCGAGACAGGGTTTGTCTGTGTAGCTTTGGAGCCTATCCTGGCACTCGCTCTGGAGACCAGGCTGGGCTCGATTATTATGAATTTGATATGTTGAAAAGAATAGCACAATTCAAAGAATCTAAAGAGTGAGTCTCCTTGCCCACTAGCTACTACTGTTTTCTCTTATGCTTTTTATAGGTATGGCTTGTTTTTAGAATTTTGAGACAGCCTATAGCCTCCTTGGTTAACAGTAGTGAAACTTACTGGGAATTGGGAATTTTACATTCTTAGGTAGGATGGGTACTCTGAATAGGACCCCAGGGCTTTGCATATACTAGGCAAGTTCTCTTACCATTGAGCCACACACAAACATAATTGACAGTTTTAGGTTTTTTTTTGTTGTTTTGCTTTGTTTGTTTATGCTGGGATTAAAGCTGTATACAAGCATGCCTGGCTCAGCTCTTAGGGAATTCTTAGAACACACTGGTTACTTTTGTTTTTGTTTTTGTTTTTGTTTTTGTTTTTAAAGAGTTTATTTATTTATTACGTATACAACATTCTGCTTCCATGTATATCTGCACACCAGAAGAGGGCACCAGATCTCATAATGGATGGTTGTGAGCCACCATGTGGTTGCTGGGAATTGAACTCAGGACCTCTGGAAGAGCAGTCAGTGCTCCTAATCTCTGAGCCATTTCTCCAGCCCTTAGTTAATTTTTTTTTTAAGATTTATTTATTATTTATTATGTGTACAGTGTTTTTTCTACATGTATCTCTGCAGGCCAGATGAAGGCACCAGACCTCATTACAGATGATTGTGAGCCAAAATGTGGTTGCTGGGAATTGAACTCAGGACCTCTGGAAGAGGACCCAGTGCTCTTAACCTCTGAGTTACCTCACCGGCCCCCAATTTTGGTTGTTTTTTTAACATTAATTTTAAAAGGCAGCTGGGCGTTGGTGGCGCACGCTTTTAATCCCAGCACTCAGGAGACAGAGGCAGGCGGATCTCTGTGAGTTCAAGACCAGCTTGGTGTACAAGAGCTAGTTCCAGGACAGCCTCCAAAGCCACAGGGAAACCCTGTCTTGAAAAACAAAAAACAAACAAAAAAAATTAAAAGGCATGTTGAATTTGGAATCCTCTTAAAATATTTTTTCCCTCAAGCCTTTTTCAGCACAAACTGCAAAACCATATTGTCTCATTGGATTTTGCTCGCTGAGTTTTAAAGTCTCCAAACTGTTTCTGGGGGTAGAGTAAATGAGGACCTGGAATGTTTGGTTGGTTTGTTTGTTTGTTTTGTCTCTGAAGTAGGTGTTGGGGCATGTGTCCAGAAATTACTGGACAGAAAGCAGTAGCTTTCCTCTGTTGACTTTTTCCATTTTAAATTAGCAGAGCTAAATGAAGATGTGTCTGCTGACCTTGAGGAACGGTTCCACTTGGGCCTTTTCACAGACAGGGCTACTCTGTACAGGATGATGGAAGCAGAAGGTGAGGCCTACACAGTCTACGTAGCCCCATCTCTCCTCACTCGCCCTTACTTTGACCTGTGCCTCTGTGCAGCTGCCAGCCTATGCCTTGGCATGCTGTGCAACTTGATCTGCTGACAAGTGTGTTGCCATTTTGGCTATTCCTTTATGTGGTTATCAGATTCCAAACAGTAGCCACTAACTGGTACAATGCACTTGAAGGTCACTGGTGACAGTGACCTGGCAGGCTCCAGCTGGGTGACAGTGATCAGCTGGCCTCCAGCCCCATTCATATATGTTAGGTTTGGTCCGTAGTTCACATCTGTAATCCCAGCGCTAAATCTAGGCTATTTACCCAGGCTAAAGCAGGAGCATCACGAGATTGAGGCCATCCTGTATGTCCATCCAGTGAGTTCTAGGGCAGCCTGAGCTATGAGGAGAGTTTGTCTTTTGAAAACAAACAAACAAAAAAAAAAGAGCCAGGGAGTAGACTGATAGCTCTCAGCAGGTAATAGTACAATCCTGACCCGAGTTCAGTCCTCATAACACACACAGCTTATACTGTAATCCAAACACCACTACAACATGTGAAACAGAGAAGAGAATAAGCTGGAAGCCGGTGTCATAGTGCAGAAGCAGAAACCCTGTCTCTGAAGCAAAGTGAAAGGAAAGATTTAAAATAAGGGCTAGAGAGATCCTCAGTAGTTAAGAGTACTGACTGCTCTTCCAGAGAACCCAGGTTCAAAAAAAATTTTAGTAGGTGACTTACTGATGAGTAAGTGACTATATACTTCTCTTCCACTGTGACTTTTGTTTTATAAAGATCAAAACAGCTTTTAAACACTGTCTCTTCTAAACAGGGAAAGGTCACTTGGAAAGCGGCCACCCTGAGCTTTTTCACCAGCTCATGCTCTGGAAAGGCGATTTGAAAGGCGTTCTCGAGGCAGCCGCAGAGAGAGGAGAGCTTACAGACAGTCTCGTGGCTGTGGCACCAGTAGGTATGTGCTTCTTGAAAAAGTGTCTTGCATTCAAGAATGTGCCATTGAAGGTGCCTCAGCACAGCCAGCACCTGGGAGGCTGGGGCAGAGGAATCACCAATTCCCAGCCAAAAAGAGAAAAGGTGACTTGGCAATATTTGCCTTAAGCCAAAAATCACTTAAAAATAGATGGTTTTACAGAAGCTGGCTCTGCAGCCACTGCTGGGGACACATCGCCCACTGTGTTTTGTCAAAACACAATAGCTGTAGAATACCTGTGTTCTGTAAAGTAGGGGATTCATTTTGCTCACAGTTGAGGCTTGGGAGCCAGAGCCAGCATTGCTTGGTGGTGGCAGGGGCACCACAGAAGTCAGAAGTGGATGAGAGAGACCACTTGATAAGACAAGCACCTGAGGCCAGGGACAGGATAGGCTGGCTTTGTGGGCGAGGCAGATTGAGCCAGACCTTGTTCTTTTTCTAACAACTAGATCAGCGGTAGTCAGTCTAGGAACGCTGCCCTGTGTTTTAATTACTGTCCACCAGTCCCCAGCTCTGGCGATGTTTCTAGCACATAAGCCACTGATGGACAAACCACACCTTGAAGGACAATTGGACCTTATGTGTCAAATTTGAAAATGCTTAAAACCTGTGGCCCAGCAGTTCTAGTGACAGAAATGAAAGTACACCCACACTTTTGGACTTAACCAAAGACTGTAAGGACCTACATATCCATCAGTAATAGACCTATCAAGTCATGTACACAGAGTAGAAATCCTTACAAATGCCAAAGGCTGAGGCAGCCTTGTACACTCTTGACATGGTGAGCTCCAGAATATAGGAGAAGAGTCAAGGCGGCTCTCAATGGAGGCAGCTGACATGAGTCTGGGAGCACTGATCCATGCTATTGTGCTGTACTGTGGACAATACAATCAGGATGGCTAAAGATGACCCTAAGAAATCAAATGGCAAGGTGTCTATTTATGCTTTCTTTATGTAGAAAAGAATGTAAGAAAAATCTAGACATCCTAGTCAGTTTTGCAGAGTTTTCTGAGAAGTGCTAAGAGAGTGAAAGACAAAGTCAGGCAAGGACAAATCTAAGTTTGGTGAAATGGTGAAGGCTGATAAAATACACTGTGATTAGGAAATGAAGAGTTATGACCCAGCTCAAGGAAGCAAGAGGAAAGAAATATATCCCCCCCCCACCCCAGATGCCCATAAAAGACAACCATTCCTTCCCACAAACATGGCCATCTCCATTGCTGATGTAGACATGGTGTTACACACTAATCCCAGCTCCAGGGAGGCAGAGGCATCTCTGGGAGTTCCTGGCCAGCCAGGGCTACGTAGTGAGACCCTGTCTCAAAAGAACAAATAACTGCTGAGAAAGTGATGGCAAAAAAGCAACCGTATATCACCAAGGCTTCAAAGATGAAGTATACAAAGGAAGTTTGCTGGCACCAGGGCTCCTGCCAGCCTTGCCCAGTGAGAAGGATGGATAAAAAAAAAGTCTGTCTTATGAATGAATACCTTAGAAGAGGGACACCATGACAGACACATCTCTATGGCTGTGAGGTGGAGCCGTTGATGCAGTGGTGAACATGGAAGTGGGCCACAGAAATCAGAATGTGTGGTGGGTCTCATCAAGCCAGCCAGAAGGTCTCTTTGAACAGCACCCTGAGCAGAAGGCATGCATGGCCACACTGTCTCGATGTCACTTTCTGTTCCCACCCAGAAGTGTTCCCTGAACCATATCTATTGTGTGATAGAGTCAAACAATTCCTGTTTCAGAATATGGGTGTGGGGAGGGAAGTGAAGCAGAAAAGCTACTGTAGCATTTGAGCATTTAAAGTAGTACCTGATGGTTCTGCCTGCTGGAGTGATGAAAATGGCATGTTTGACTCAAGTAAACCTCCTTTTATGCACCCTCCTCCTTCTTCCTTTTTTTTTTTTTTTTTTTTTTTTTTTTTAAGTGGGCCGTGGAAGCCACAGGCAAGCAGCTGTGTTTCCAGGATCAGTATGTCAAGGCGGCCTCTTACCTGCTTTCCATCCACAAAGTGTATGAAGCTGTGGAACTTCTCAAGTCAAATCATTTCTACAGGTCTGTGCAGTTTTGGCCTCAATCAGCATCTGACATGCTGTGACATACTGTGATCATACTTGCTGGTAAAGCAGTGGGAACAGAGAAAACAGTTGGGGGCTTGATGACTTATAATTATGTGTATGTGTGTGGGTATGTGCACATGGTCACACTTGTCTACAGGGGCCAGGGATACTGGATCCCCCTAGAGCTGAAATTACAGGAGGTTCTGAGCTACCCGGTGTGCTGGGACCCAACTTGGATCTTCTACAGGAGAGCAGTGAGTGCTCTTACCCGCTGAGCAGTTTCTCTCTGTGTAGCTTTGGAGCCTATCCTGGCACTCGCTCTGGAGACCAGGCTGGCCTCGAACTCACAGAGATCCGCCTGCCTCTGCCTCCCGAGTGCTGGGATTAAATACGTGCACCACCAACACCCAGCACATGCACACTTTTTTAAAAAAGAAAAATCCAACATTTGTGTCTTAGGTTTTCTATTGCTGTAATAAACACCATGACTGAAAGCAACTTGGGGAAGAAAGGGTTTATTTCAGCTTACAACTGTAGTCTCAACTACAGAGAGAAGTCAGGGCTAGAATTCAAGGCAGGAACCAGGAGGTAGGAACTGAAGCAGAAGCCATGTGCCTCTTGGCTTCTTTAGTTTGTTTTCTTATATAGCCCAGGACCAGCTGACCAGGGGTGGTACCACCTACAGTGAACTGGGCTCTCCCATGTCAATCTTTATTAAGACTTAACCTTCAGGTCAGTGGCATTTTCTCAATTAAGACTCTCTCTTCCCAGCTCTGTCTAGGTTTGTGTAACACTGTATGTCAGCCACAGTGGCAAAGACCATTCTAGATGGTATGCACCAGACCCTTTGTTCTCTCTCTGTCACCGTCTGCCATTAAGTAGGGATGTTTATTAATTAATTAATATTAATATTTAATATTAATTTGCTGTGGTTGGTTTGAATCTGCACACCTTGGTGTTTCTTTCCTGTTTGTCAGGAATAGCTCTTTTTCTGTTTTATTTTAGATTGACTGTTTTTGTCAGGTTCTAGTACTGACCTTTTAGCTATATCCTCTTGAATTTATTTGTTTAAATGTGTATGACTGTTTTGTTCATATATTTGTCTGCATCTTGTGTGTGCCTTGTGCTTGAAGAGGCCAGAAGAGGGCATTGTATCCCCCTGGAGCCGCAGTTACAGATGTGTGGATGCCAGGAATTGAACCCAGATCCGATGGAAAATACAGCCAGTGCTCTTAATCACTGAGCCATCTCTCTAGTTCCTGATCCTTTTTTTTTTTTTTAATACTAGTTTTACTGGTGATAATTCCCAAAACTTCTTTTGTGTATGAAAGCCTATAATTTCACCTTCATCTTAAGAGAGCTTTTCCAAGTTTAGAATTCAAGGTTGTTTCCAGATGTGGTCCACACTCCAACCCAGCACCAGGAAGAATGAGGACCAGGATATGGGTTGTGGTGATGCACACTTGTAATTCTAGCATCTTGAGGAATAAGAACCTAGAAGGATCCTATACTGCAGATTTTCCTTAACCCAGGCTGGCTTAACTCTTGCCTTAATTTTCCAAGTGCTTAAATTACAGGTGTGTGCTCCACACTGGTGTATTTTCATCTGTACTGCATGAGCACAGTGGAGTTTCTCTATTCATTATCACTGATCTTGTTTATCTTATCTGGGTTTTATGGTCCTCTTCTAGAGAATGCTAAGTTTTGTTGTGGCTCACCTTGATCTTTTTAGAAACAGGGAACAGAGTCTAATGGTGCTAGCCTCAAGTCTGTGGCCATGTTGTCTGCCTCTGGAATGCTGTGATTGTATGCCTTCCCCTTATTCTTTCTTTTTTTTTTCTTTTTCTTTTTCTTTTTCTTTTTATTTTTTTCTTTTGGTTTTTTCCAGACAGGGTTTCTCTGTGTAGCTTTGGAGCCTATCCTGGTACTCGCTCTGGAGACTAGTCTGGCCTCAACCCCACAGAGACCCGCCTGCCTCTGCCTCCCGAGTGCTGGGATTAAAGGCGTGCGCCACCAACTCCCCTTGCCTTCCCCTTATTTCAAAAGGGCAGATTTAGAGAAGTCCATACTGTGGACTAGTGTGGGCCCCCTACCTTCTGATGTCTCTGTTGCAGGCTTTGCTTAGTGAACAAGTCACAGCGAGCTTTGGGCATCATTCAGCAACTGGCTCCCTGGCTGTTCTTTGTTTGCCCAGGAAGGCCAGAGAACAAGCAGGATCCACAAGCAGAGCTCTGGCCACCTCTGTCTGTGAGCAGCTTTCTCCTCCTTTGCTGCTACAGGTCTTTGGTTTAAAGGACTGTGCCTAGAAGTAAAAGCCCCAAGTATTACTTTTTTCTCTTTTTTTTGTTTCTTTTTTTTTGTCTTTCAAGACGAGGTTTCTCTGTGTAGCCATGGCTGTCCTGGAACTCATTTCTTAGACCAGGCTGGCCTCGAACTCACAGAAATCTGCCTGCCTCTGCCTGCCCTGTGCTGGGACTAAAGGTGTTGCTATTTAGATCATTTTCATCCCTCCTACAGCTTTATGGTGGCTGCAGCTCAAGCTGAATTGCATTTGGAAGATGTTTGCCAAGTTACACAGATCCACCAGATACTCAGATGCTTTCTTAGAAATCCCACAAGTGTCACACTCTTGGGTCACTTTCACTGGGAAAGTTTTCAGCTTTGGGATGCTCTGTGTCCCTAGTGGCAGGTACACTTTTCTGAAAATCTCATTTTCCCAGAAAGTGTAAACTTTATCATTGGAAACGAAAGTGACAGATTTTACTTTGTTCATTTCTCAGAAAGTATCTGTAAGATACTGAAGCTAAATAACTTACCTTTTAGTTTTATTTGTTTTTGAGACAGGGTCTCACTTGACCTCCAGCTATTCTAGAACTCACTATGTAGGCCAGACTAACTAGCCTCACATTCAGAGATCTGGCTGCTGCTTCCTTCTATGTGCTGGGATCACTGAGCTTGCCAGTGCTTTTTAAGAAATGATAGATGTTTTCTTGAAAGCAGCTAGCTGTGGATGAAGAAATGACTCAGTGGGCAAGGTGGGTAAGAGTGTTTGCCCTGTAAACAGGAGACCTGTGTTTAGATCCCATCGACCAGTAAAAAGCTGGACAAGGCTGACTATGCCTATGAGCCCAGCGTCAGCAAGTGAGAATAAAAGGACCCCAGGAGCTCACTGATCAATCAGCCTAACCTGTCTTAAAAGAAATGGGATAGCTCAGCAGGTAAGGCTCTTGCTGCCCAGCCTGTGGACCCAAGTTTGATTCCCAGAACCCATGCAGTGAAAAGCCTTACAGAACCAACTCCTGCAGGTCACCTGACCTCCACACACATGCCTTGTACACGCACAGCCACCTGAAATCTAAAAGGGAAGGTGAAGAGTGATGTGGGCACAGGCACAGACACTCACATGCACCACACATACTCAGATATTAAAAGTAAAAGGTAGCTAGTCAGCTTGTAGTGTACTCTTACAAATTTCCCAAGATAACTGACGTGGTTTGGAATAATGTCAGAAGCAAAGCATTCTTGCCATTTTGTGATGATGAAGGTTTAAAATGCTGATGGCTGCTTCAGTGAAAACAGGGCACTTACTGTTTTCATCGGGAGACTCCTATGGAGGAACCCTTGTGGATTGACTGCTTTTGCCTTTAGAGAAGCTATTGCAGTTGCCAAGGCTCGGCTGCGCCCTGGTGACCCCGTTCTGAAGGACCTGTACCTGAGCTGGGGTTCCATCCTGGAGAGAGATGGCCACTACGCTATTGCAGCCAAGTGGTAAGCAGAGAGGCCGAAGCTAATTTATATCTGCCTGGAGCACAACAGATTGGAAGTGTAGAAATGGGTGTGGTGACTGGAGATGGAAAAAGAAGGGAAAATGTAACCCAGCTGCATGTTCCACAGTTACCTGAATTGGCACAAGCAGTCAGGCCACCTCAGAAGATTACACTTGTTTCCATTGATGAGATAAGCAGAATGTGGGGTGATTCCTCTGTTTGGGTCAGTCAGCACTTGAAGAGGTTCAGCACAGTGTACAAGTCATAGCATGTGGCATCCTGACCTCAGCCTCCAAAGAGACAGCCAGAGCAGGGTCACTGGGATGCACATGCAGTCATATGGACAGAAGAGGTGTGGAAGTGCGCACGGCTGGTGACTGGGTTTCATTCTTGCCACAGCTACTTAGGAGCCACTTCCGCCTATGATGCAGCCAAAGTTCTGGCCAGAAAAGGAGATGCAGCCTCGCTCAGAACAGCTGCAGAGCTGGCTTCCATAGCAGGAGAAAGTGAGCTGGCTGCTTCCCTGGCTCTCAGATGTGCCCAGGAGCTGCTTCTGGTGAAGAACTGGGTGGGCGCACAGGAAGCCTTGGGGCTTCTTGAAAGCTTGCAGGTCAGTCCCTGGAGCCTGAGGGTGGGAGGCACCCTGGGTCCCTCTCTGGTCAAACTAACCCCCAGAAGACAAACTTGCAGCTTAGTAAGTGTGCTTTAGAAGTGTCCAAAAGCCATGATGGCTATCCTGTCTCACTGAAATACTACAGTTTGCTCACTACTAAGTGGGGTCAGAGATACATTGCTGTTGACAGTAATTTCTACCACTCACAAGTGTGTACAAGCCTTCTGAACAGCTGCCAGTGTGCCAACACCCAGGCACTGCCAGGGTTCCTACATTAGCACTGTGTCTCTGTGGGGAGAGTGGTTGGCCTCTGATGGGAAGATCATGGTGAGTAACAGGCATGTCTGGTTTCTGAAAAGCTTTGTTCCTGTGTGGCTGAAAATGAGTCAGGCTGGATGTAGCTCAGTAGTAGCTCATTTCCCTGGCATGTTCCCAGGTTCCATTCCCAGCACTTGAGATAATAATGGCAGTATTAATGAATAACAAACCTACAAGTTGTGCAAACATCAAATTTCACTGACATGTTCATGTTTGCATATTACATGCTTTGGCCATGTTCAGACTCCACTGCCACAGTTTTTTCAGATGCGTGGAAACTGAGGTCTTCTGTAGTCCAGGCTTACCATAAATGTACTGTGCAGCCTGGGGTGGCCTCAAACTCAAAATCCTACTGCCTCAGGCTCCCAGGTGTTGGCATTTCAGGTGTGAGCCACCTTGCCAGTTCTGACACGGACTGTTTAAGCTCCTCTTTCCCTAGCATAGAAATAAGCCTTAAAAACAATGCCCAACTAAGTGTTTAGAGCCCAAGGAAGATATATAGGTGGTTAGCTTTCTCAGAACTGGAAGATAGTACCATTGGGTATATTAGTTATAAAATGGCTAAGTCTGGGCAGAATCATTTACCTACAGCTAAGATAGGGCTTTCCCAATAGTTCTTTAGCCCCTGATCTTTCCCCCTGAAGCAAAAAACAAAGTAGCTCTGTAGCCTTTTGGTCCATACTCTGGTGGGGGCCATTTTGATTGGGTGTGCCTGTCCTCTAGGTTTACTGAAGACCTCCCAGAGTGCACCAGGTATCTAGTGGCAATAACAAGGATTTTCTGGAGCTTTTCTTGATACTTTGGTTGTTGGTGGATTCCCTCTCAGACCTGCTTAAACATGGCCTGTGCCTGTCCAGCTCCTGAGTCTGTCAAGCTTGTCTGTTCCAACATCACAGCACTGTCAGTGGGAGAGAGCTTGATGCTACAGGGCTGAAGGGTAGATAGAGAGAGACTGGGTGTCGTTAAGGATCCTAGCTTCTAAACAGTTTCCTGAACTACAAAGGCACCTGCAGAGCTGCTGCCTCTTCCCTTCCTCACAGCAGACTTGCTAGGAGGCTTGGGTGCTGTGGGCTCAACCGGGTGTGCCATGTCGTCTGCATTTTCATGTGTCATACCTCTTTGTTGTTGGATCCTAGGGCCAGAGACTGGTCTTCTGCCTCCTTGAGCTTCTGTGCCGGCACTTAGAGGAAAAGCAGCCTCCAGAGGTCAGAAGCCCCTCCTCCGTTTACCACCAGTGGGCCACAGGCTCTGAAGGAACCTTGGTGCAGAGAGTGACTGATGTGTGGCGCAGTACCTTGAGTGTGGACACCCCGGAGCAGTGTCGGGCCGCCTTGCAGAAGCTGCAGGATGTCAAATATCCATCTGCAACAAGTAACACTCCCTTCAGACAGGTGCGCCATGGCCCAACCTTAACAGGAGCTGTGTAGGTCAGGTGTTCTTCATCCCTCAGAAAATAAGTATCTCAAAAAAGACATGGCAGTCCAGGCCTTGGGAAGACTCCTCAGATGAAAACCTTGAGCTGTGTATTCCTTTGGGGTTCTCATTTGCTTAATTTTAAAATACAAGCAAGTTTGGGGCTGGAGTGATGGTTCAGTGGTTAAGAGCAACAGCTGCTTCTGCAGAGGGTCCAGGTTGGGTTATCAGCACCCATACACAGCTAACACCCATCTATTATAATTCCAGTTCCAGGGGATCCAAGAGGGGATCCACCCTCTTCTGGCCTTCGTGGGCACCAGGCATACACATCACACATAAACCTACATATAGGCAAAATACTATATACTCTTCTGAGCTGCCGCTTCACCCATCACACTGCCTGCTCACCAGAGAGAGTACTTGCCCCCAAGTTACCCATTCTGTGCCAAGACGTACTGTAACTACTATGTTCATCTTGGAGACATACCTCAGCTTATCTGCTTTTTGAATTTTTAAATGAAAAGACAGTATACTTTTGAGTAAGGAGACTTCTTCAAGTGGTATACAAAGTGGAAAGCAGCTTTGTAGTTTGCCCAGCCAGCCAAGTGACTGGGTGGTTCACAAGAAATGAAATGGTTCAGTCGAGTAGGTAAACTGCTTCAAGTGAGGCCCTGTGTTTACTCTCTAACTCCGCACTTTACACCCGTGTTGCCAGGATTAGGGAGGCAGAAGCAGGTAGACCCAGGGGCTTGCTGTCAAGACAGTCTAGCCAGATTGATGAGCTTCAGGTTCTGGGAGAGACCCTGCCTCAAAAGATAAAATGGGGCCAGGTGGTGGTGACACACCCCTTTAATCCCGGCACTCAGGAGGCAGAGGCCAGCCTAGTCTACAGAGTGAGTTACAGTACAGCCAGGGCTACACAGAGAAATCCAGTCTCAGGAAGAGAAAAAAAAAAAAAGAGAGAGAGATTAAATGGAGAGTGATTAGGAAAGACAACTGACATTATACCTCTGACTGCCACATGCTAAGATGAATTGGTATCAATTGTATTACCATTATTTCTGTTGATTTTCCTTTTGTTTTGTTTTGTAATGGGGTCTCATATAGCCCAGTCTAGCCCTGAACTTCATATGTAGCCGAGGATGACCCTGAAGTCCTGGTCTTCCTGCCTCCACTTCCCCAGTGCTAGGATTACAGGTGTGTGTCACCACACCAAGTTTATGTGATGCTGAGGACTGAACCCAATTAAGCATATCCCCCCCACCCCCATTTTATTTTTCTAACTCCAACTTTTTAGATCCAGAAACTTAACTTCTCTGGTTTTATTTGCAGTCTAAAAACAGGATGTTGTACAACCCAATCTGCCTTTGATCTCATGATCCTCCTGCCTCAGCTTCCTAGGCATGCCAGCTTTCTTTGCCTTTACTGTTTTCATTAAGTGCAGTGATCACTGCATCTCCTCAGAATACTCAGACTTTACCACCAGACAGAGGGTGATAGGTGGTAGGTAAAGAAAGACCTTCCAGAGTAGCTGTTCTGTGCGACTGGCCTCCAGTGCAGAGGGACCAGGATGGTCACATCTGCCACAGGAGGGTGTTAGCAGATGAGTGAGACTCTGGCCTCTTTCCAGCTGCTGCTTCATGTCTGTCATGACCTGACCCTGGCAATGCTGAGCCAACAGGCTGCCTCCTGGGAGGAGGCTGTGCCAGCACTGCTGCAGGCTGTGCTTCGGAGCTACACCTCAGGGAACTTCACCCTCATGCAGGAAATCTACTCAGCTTTTCTCCCAGACGGTAAGTGACCTCACCCACTCTTCCCCCACATCTCTGCCGGTCCTCCCATTATAGCACAACATAACCACCTCAAATGGTACTGTACTAGGAATGGCAACGTCTTTAAAAGGTGATGAGGCTGTGACAGGAAGATCACCACAAATTTTGAGCTGCATAGGTTACTAAGGGAGACAAAAAACCAAGCCACTGTTGTCTTTTCCTGGCCTTGCTCTCTCCCTTAAAGCTTAGTTGGAGAGATAAAGAAGTAGAGCTGGAATGGGGTACATGCACTCTGTCATTCCAACATGGAGGAGGGGTGGTCAGACCAAGCAGCAGTTCAGGGTAATCTTTGGCTATGTGGTAAGTTTAAGGCCAGCCTGGGCTACATGAGACCCTGTCAGACCACCACCAAAAAGAAAGGAAGGAAGAAGGGAAGAAAGGGAAAGGAAAAAAAAAAAGGCCAAAGGGCAGTGGTGGCGCACACCTTTAAAAATCCTGTCACTTGTGAGACAGAGCTGGCGCATCTCTGAGTTCAAACCCAGCCTGGTCTACAGTGCAAGTTCCAGGACAGCAAGGCTATACAGAAACACTATCTCAAAAAAAAAAAAAAAAAAAGAAAGATAAATGTGGGATTCCAAGCTGGAACGATTAGGAAAGCTAGGCATTTCTTAACTATGTGATTAGTCCTACAATTAATCTCAATTTTCAGAGCACAGTGTGGTTCATACCCCTACCCCACCACATTAGTATGATCCCAGAGCTCTTAATGAAATAATACTTTTCTGTCATGCTGTGAGTAATGTCATCTGTGGCAGTATTTGCATTGTCCCAAGGAGGGAAAGGAAATGATTAGTTCTACTGGAGGTGGGCAGTTGCTGTCCCTTTTCCTGGGGTCTGTCTTCTTGGGTAACATAATACAAGGGTGAGAAGCCAGGTTTCTCACAGATGGAGAAATGTATAACCTATCCCAAGATCCTTTTCTTCTAGGCTGTGACCACCTACGAGACAAACTTGGTGACCTATCTCTTGCTACTGCAGCTTTCAAAAGCTTAGAGGCCTTTTTTATTTACGGGCAACTATATGAAGTCTGGTGGGCACTCTGTGGGCCTGTCCCTGAATCCAGCATCTGGGTGAAAAGCACAGCCTCTGAAGAGCAGGGGGAGCCAGAGGACAGTACCAGTGCCAAAGATACAGAGCCTGGGGCTACTGCTCTGCCACAGTCAAGCCAGCCTCCAGACCCAGGCCTGAAGCTCAGTGCAGAGACTGAGCATTTACTTAGTGCCTGCAGAGAGCTCTTCTCAGAAAGGCACGCCAGCCTCCAGACCTTCCAGAGGACTGTTGCTGAAATCCAAGAGACACTGGCAGAAATGATCCGCCAGCACCAAAAGAGTCAGCTCTGCAAGGCCATGGCCGACGGCCCCAACAGAGATGATCCCAGCCAGGAAACAGAGCAGCTACCTTCCCAACCTCAGAGCCCAAGGTAAGTTAGGGTCTGGGACCATGGATTGCCTTGTTGTCTGCTACTGTGTCAGGATAAGTATGTGATACCGTTGACTAGGCCGCTGGGAAGCAGCAAAAGTAGGTCAGACAGTTAATTCCAGCCCTCCTGAAGCTCGGTGCTCTACAAATTATACCTGCAGCAGCACTGAGTACTATAGTGAGATCTGGTGCCCCCTTCTGGCATGCAGGCATACATGCAGGCAGAACACTGTATTCATAATAAATAAATATAAAAAAGAAAAAAAAAAAAAAAAAACATGCTCTTTCCCTGTGGCAGTCCTTCTACCTCAGCCTTCCAAGTGCTGGGATTATAGGTGTGAACACAGCCAGGTTTGCTTTTAGGAAACAATGCTATCAACCCCTCAGGTCAGCTCTTACCTTTGACTCACAGGATTCCTGTGAGGACCTTAATACACTGCTCCTGGCTTCCCTTCTACTCCATGGAGACCCCAGACTTTCACACTTGTCTGCAATATAAAGCCCCTACTTTCTGTGTCTCAAGTATTAGAAAAGTAACACACCACATCTTCATATGTGTGTTCATCCCATTTTGTTGCCTTCTCAATTTCTGTATTTATGGATTGAAGTTACTCAGGCATAATAAGTGGCTGGGTGCAACAAAGGACCAAGGAAGGATGTGACAAATGACCAGTCACTCATCACTGGAGACATGCAAATCATGGCTGAGTAAGGAGAGTCTGTCCCCAACATAGAAGAAGCCCTGGATTCCATCACTGGCATCACACTAAAAAAAAAAAAAAATGGACGTGGTAGTGCATGCCTGTTATCCCAGCACTGGGAGGGTAGAAGCAGGAGGATCAAGAGTTCAGGGTCATCTCAGTTATATTGTGAGGTTCAAGGCCAGCCTGTGTGAGACCCTTCCTTTAAAAAATAAAATGAGCTGGAGAGATGGCTCAGAGGTTAAGACCACTGACTGCTCTTCCAGAGGTCCTGAGTTCAATTCCCAGTAACCACATAGTGGCTCACAACCATCTATCATGAGATCTGGTGTCCTCTTCTGGCATGCAGGCAAATATGCAGGCAAAAAACTATATGTAATAAAAATAAGCAAATAAATTTTAAAAAATAAATAAAATGAATCTACAGTGAAATATTACTTCATACCCAATGTGCTGTGGCTGCTGCCAAGAATGGTGAAGCACAGCTTGAATCTTTGTTCTTGGTGAGAACGCTACAGAAGTTCCTCGGGAATTAGAAAATGAGATTCGCTATGAGATCCAGCCATTCTACTCCTGTATCAAGAGAATTGAAAGCAGGGCAGCCTGGCATGGTTCTGCATGCCTATAATTCCAGCACTCAGGACCTCAAGTTTGAAGCCAGTCTGAGCTGTACAGCAAAATCAGTCTAAATAAATAAATGCTAGGCCAGGCATTGGTGGCACACACCTTTAATCCCAGCACTAGGGAGGCAGAGGCTGCTGGAGTTTGAAACCAGCCTGGTCTACAGAGCAAGTGCCAGGGCAGCCTCCAAAGCTACAGAGAAACCCTGTCTCGAAAAACCCAAATAAATAAATAAATAAATGCTAAATAATTGAAACCCCACTATTAGGGTAAACACTTGTAGCACTGTGTATGATAGCACTGAAAATGGGGAGCAGCCCAGTATCCAAGGACAGGTGGGTAGATTAACAGAAATAGTATATTCACTCAGCAAAATACTACTCAATGTTTACAGTACTTAAAAAGAAATTGTGACATGTACTACATTTACTACAGGGTAGATGGCATGATTCCATGAGACAGCAAGGGTGAGCTGCCAACAAGCAGAGATAGAACATTACCACAGAAGGGCAGGCTTCAGTCTCACAAGAGCTCTGGTCCTGAGCAGGTAGTGAATGCCTTTAATTCAAGAAGCCAGCCAGCCTGGTCTACAAATCAAGTTCCAGGTGAGCCAGTGTCACACAGTGAGACATTGTCTCAAAAAAAAAGCTCAGGTCCTGGATGGTGGTGATGGTTGCACAGCATGATGAGTGGAAGTATGTTTACATGGGTGAAATGGTTTTAACTATTTTACCACAATAAAAACATGGGGGGAGGCAGGTTGTTCATTGGTAAAGGTATTTGTCACCAAGCCTGATGACCTGAGTTTCATTCCTGGAACCTACATATGGAAGGAGGGCACATCCCCAAACGTTGTCTTCTGACCTCTACATACACACATTGTGGCATGCAAGTATAATTGTAATGGCACACATGTAAACATTTGGTAAAGGTTGGGTGACCATAGATGACTTCTGTTTATTGTTACTCTTACTAGCAGAGAAGAAAGAAAGACACCAGTCTCTCTCCCTGAATTAACCAGAAGACTCACAGAGGCAAATGAGAGAATAGCTGAGTTTCCAGAGAGTATAAAGGTAAGGGTGTTTGGAGATGCTTCATCTACGTCTGTCATTGTATGTTCTTAAATTTTTAGGATACAAGAATTGGGTGTGCTGGTGCATGCCTTTAATCCCAGCACTGGGGAGGCAGAGGCAGGTGGATCTCTTAAGTTTTAAGGCTTCCTGGTCTACAGAGCAAGTTCCAGGACAGCTTAAGGGTATACAGAGAAAGCCTGTATTGAAAAGACAAGGAAAATAAAAAATAAAAAAACTTAGGATGCAGTTATTTCTGCTTAGCTGAAGTGATTTGGGAAAGTAGCAGTATTAACCACATGGTAGGCTTCCAGCTCAGTTTTGGTGAAAACCAAACAAGAGGTATGTATGATTGAGAGGTAAAACATTGAGGTCAATGGGAGATGGTAGGTAGCACATGCCTAGCACTCATGGAGAAGCAGCGTGTTGGGCTGTGGCCTGGTGCTAGGAGCAGTGGCGTGTGTGAGTTGATCTGGGGATACTTAGAAGACTCACCCGTGAGGACATGCCAACAGATATATCAGTTTCATCCATTTCTCCGTAGAATTGTCAGTGCACACCTCTGCAGACACTGCCTTGTCTTGTCATTGTTTTAGGCCTGGCCCTTTCCAGATGTGCTGGAGTGCTGCCTTGTCTTGCTTCACATCGGGTCACAGTGTCCTGGTGCCGTGAACCCTGAGATGCAGCAACAGGCCCAGGAGCTCCTTCAGAAGTATGGCCACACTAGAGCTTACAGAAGACACTGCCAGACCCTGCACACATGAACTACCAGAGGCCATAAAGCTGTGTCACACAAGTTGTGACAGCTTTCTTCTCAGTCAGAGTTCACCAGGCCTTCACCCTGATCTTCAACGGAAAGATGCTGTGATCCAACTGACAGCTGAGGGTGAAGCTTGAGTCCACTCACAGTGGATCCTGCCTGGGCCCCCCCAAGTGGCTCCTGTAATGGAGCAAACCAGCCCTCACCAAGACCGTCGACTCAAGCCTTCTCAAGCCTTACGTGGTGTCCCCAGAGAGAAGCCTTTGTATTCACCCAAAGTCTGTTTCCCAGATGCAGCTGCCTTTATAAACCCTCACCATCGAAGGAAGTGTCTCCTTCTGTGGGAGGTGCACTTGACATGATTATCACTGTTGGGTGGGGCTTCTTAGTTATTTGTTAGCTGGGCCTTCTCACCTCTCAAAGACTAAAGGAATTAGCCTTGCCCATCCTGTTGACTCTCATTAGGTCAACAGTGATTTTATTTTATGGAGTTGCTTATATGGACAAATGGCTAAAGCTTTCTGAAAACAGAGCTAATGAGGCCATCTGTTGTCCTCCAGGTTTTGTGACATGACTAATGGTGGTCAGACAGCTCAGGAAAAAAAAAAATCACTGCTAGTGGTTCTTTAATCTTCTGGGGTCATAAACCCCTTTTTTGGGAATTGACTAAAACACAGCCTGGAGAACAATGCATATTTCTTCATTTTTATGTGTGACTCCCAGGTCATTACACTTACACTTTACACCCTGAACCCTAAGTACTATTTACTCACCAGCTCTGGGCCTGCTGCTAGTTCCCACCCAGCAAGACAGGTCAGTGGCTGATGCCTCCACTGGCACTGAAAAGCAGACATGTTCAGGTTGCGTGGGCCTAGCATACCTTCTCCTGTCTCTTGAGGTCCATTGTGAAGGCTTCATCTGTGGGCAGCAAGAAGTTTTCCCAGCTGGAACTCCATGGGATGTGCTGCATCTTGAGTCGGTTGTGTATCTAGCTTTGGGCTCTAAAACATGCTAAAACCAAAATAAGGAAGTACTGTACCACTGTGTGAAGGCTAGGAAGATGCATTGGTCTTAAAGGCAAGAGTCTTGAGAAAGATGCCAGTAGGCTTGACTACATAGAGGACTGGATAGTTCCAAGCAATTTCATCTACAGAATGGGAAAAGCTGGTCCCCTCCACTTGAATAAAGAGTAGTTGGTAAACTACAAACTCACTTTTGTGATTTGCTGAATGAAACCAGTGCTTGATGGGAGCAACCATGCACACTGCTTGCCTCTATTACTGCTGGGAAACACCAAAGGCAGGAGGAATTCAAATTCAAGTCTAGCTAGAGTGATGGTCAGGTTAGGAGCCCTGGCTGTTCTTCCACAGGGTCTGGGTTCAACTTCACCCCCACATGGTGGCTTACAAACAACTATTACTGCAATTCTAGGGGATCCAACACCCTCTTCTGACCTCCACAGTCACCAGGCATACACATAGACATAGACGTACAGTCAAAAAGAAACGTAAAATAAAACTACCCAATAGAAAAATTCAAATGGCAGCCATTTTCTACCTAAACTGTTCTTTTCAATGATGTATGTAATCTGGTTGCTATCACTTGAATATTATTATTTCTGTATCCCAACTTATGAGAACCACAAAGAGCCAGAGAAGCAAAGGTGTTCACTCAAGGTTATAGCAGAAAGTATATATTACTAAGCAACTTTTGGGGGGGTGTTGGGGGGTGTCTTTATCCCTGTAATCTGGTCTAGACCTGTCCAGTTACCTTCTCCCACCTCTCTTTTCTTGGAGGGGGAGGGAAGCTTCTGGTTTTTCCGAGACCCAGTTTTCTGTGTAGCCCTAGTTGTCCTGGAACTTATTCTGTAGACTAGGCTGGCCTGAACCTCAGGTATCTGCCTGCCTCTGCCTCTCAGGTGCTGGTGATTAAAGGCGTGCACCACCAGGCCCTCATCCACCTTTCTTACTGGCTCCCTCATACTTTGAATCGGCTCTTGGTGTTCCCTACTCCTCCAACAAGGACTGTATTCCCTTCCCTTTCCGTACCGTCATCTCCTGCCTCTTCTTAGCACCTCACCCTGCATCAAATCTGGCCCTCTCTACTGTTCACCACAGTATCTACTGGAGTGGATAGTGGGTACTTAATGAAAGCTCATTGGCAACTTGGAAACACAGAACTCTCACATGCCAGCATTGGCTGACAAGAGGCTTAAGGTTGCTCAACCTTGCAAACAGAACAGTGGAATCCAAGGTCAGTGGCACATAGGGCTGAACTCTGGTCATCAAAAGCTGTTCTCTTCATCCTCCCGTAGCTCCACCTTCATCAGAGGACAACCACCCTTTGCACAGCCCTGTGTGGTCACGTGACAGTGCTTTCCAGTTCTCACCTGTGTCCCTCCTCTAGAACCTCTTCTATGTAATGCTTAGACAGTCCCACTTTTCATCTCAGTGCTTTTGGTCTGTCCTGAGAAAAGCTGAATTTTTAAATGTTCCAGATCCTGTGTAAGGCCCAATAGCACACCAAGGCATCGTTACTGAGAGCCACTCTGCTGCCTTCACCACAGTCCTCACAGGTATGTCAAGTGCAAACCTGCCAGCCAAAGTTCTAGATCTTCAGGTACAGTGGTGCAGACCTACACTCCTTGCTATTCAGAAGGACGGCTTAGAGGTCAGGGCCAGCTTATGTAACTTAAGACCCCCTAGAGGATTCTAGAGAATCCTCTAGAAGGGCCCCAATACTTGACTGACAGCTTTACCTTTTTTGTGAACAGAAAAGGCTGGGGGGGGGGGAAATCAATTAGGAAGTGTTAAGTTCAAATGCCCTACAGAATTCCACTGAGTAACCCACTGTGAGTAGCCAGGGAGAATACAATTAAAGCTACTCTACCGTCCGAAGGCCCAACAGCCAGCAGGGTATGAAGCTTCCTCAATGAGACCTTCCTTCCAAGGCTGACTGGTTCTGAGGTAAGCCAATCCCATCACAGATACCAGATCCTAGCTACCAAAGACCACACCTCATGCCAGTGGTTAAAAAGCAATCTTTATTTTACAAAATTAAAAACATAAATAATATTTACAAGCATCTTAAATATCAGCTTTAATAGTTGACATTTTGTAATCATTTCAAATTCAGTTTCCCACAAGCTTTTAAGATGTAAGACCACTCCTGCTTCAGGGAGCTGCTGCCGTCTGTCTCCGCCTTCCAAAGAAGTTTCTGCTTTCTCAAAATTGTACTTTCTGTAGTCATTTTTAAAAAGTGTGCTTCCAAAATGCCTAACCTTAAAAAAAAATCATCGGCTTCTGACAGCTGTGGGATGACTCTCAGAGGTCTGAGGTGAAGTCTCTTACTGCCCTGCTCACAAGTGACTCCTGTGACTTTCCTAGCATTCCGGAGCTCAGCTTTACCACCACTTGACATCTCCGGCTTGCTAAGTAAAAGCATGGGAATGGAAGCTAAGAGAACACAGCTGATTGAGATCACCCTGCTGAGAACAAAATGGACATGGAGCATGACCTAGTCGAGGGCAGTTCATCCGAAAACTAAGGTGACTTGAGGTGAGGCTCAGCTGCCAGCTTAATGCCACAAAAAGGAGACTCAGAACTTTCCAGGTTTCAGAACAGTCAGGACTGCTCTGTCCTGGAGAAGTTTGACAAAAGCAGGGCAGAGCCTGCTGTTGCGGACCTACTTCCCAAGAACATACACCATGTTCCCTGGCAGCCTCAGCTCATCTGAGAATCTTCATCAGAGCAGCAAAGCCAAAAGAAAAAAGAATGACAACGTGTAAGAGTCATATACATTTTACTGGTTTGTTTCAGACATCCTGGAGGTTTAAAAAGGTGTCCATGAAGCCATGGATGCTGGTGGCAGGAGGCAGCAGAGGGACGTGGGCATGAGGAAAAGGAAGACTTGTTTACAAATTCAGAGCAAACCCCCTTCTTCTGGATCTAAAATAAAGGCATCTTTAAACAGAAACCCAAAGTCTCTGCTTAGAGCAGATGCAGGTCAATGGCTGGGGCGGATGGCACAGATGGCACGGTGCACGCGCTATCACTGCTGCATGTTGTTGATCATGGCCAGGATGCTCATCTTCTCCTGGGCAGAGTCCACATCCTCATTCTGCTTCTGAGCCACTCCCGTGCCCAGGCCATAGAGGCGCCCACAGTACTTGGCATCATCAATACTGTCCTCAAAGAATAGCTGCAGAACAGGACAGAATCAGCTGAGAATGGGGCCAGAAGTCATGCCACCTCCCAGCTTCTCAAGCCCTGACACTCAGCAGACTGGACACTAAATCAGCAATGACACCAAACATCTCTCACGAAGGCTTTTCCTGTTCCTTTCCCTACACTGGGGCTCTGCTTCCTCAACAGACTTGGCATTCCTATGATTTGTCACTGCTGGGGACCATGGGCTACTGCCAAGCAAAGCAGTGATTACGAACTCAGGCTTGCCAAGTTACTTCAACTCCATTCCATCTTGGTTCCTTATCCACAAAAAGGAAAGCTAGGTGAGGTGGCACACACATGTAATCCTAGCACCCGAGAAGCTAAGATGTGACTGAAAAGATCACGGACAATGAACACTCAACCTTAACATCACTGGGCAGAAGCTGCCCAGTCCAATCACAAGATGCTGAGCACAGCCCTGGTCAGAAGCACCATCTCTGCTAAGTATAACAAGAAACATTCCATGCCAGGCAGTGGTAGTATACGCCTTTAATCCCAGCACTCGGGAGACAGAGGCAGGCAGATCTCTGTGAGTTCAAGGCCAGCCTGGTCTGCAAGAGCTAGTTTCAGGAGAGCCTCCAAAGCCACAGAGAAGCCCTGTCTCAAAAAAACAAAAAACAAAAACAAAAACAAAAAAATAAATAAATAAATAAAAAAGAAAAAGAAAAAAGGAAACATCTCCAAGGCATCACCAAATGTGCCAGTTGGCAACCACTGACCTAATACAATTGTTACTATTTAGATCTAAAATGTTCCTAGAAGTCCTGTTGACAGCTTAGCACCAACTTGTAGGGTTACTAGGAAATGGTAAAAACTTGAGGAGGTGAAACTTAGTAGAGGGATGTGAAGTTGTCAGGGCCAGGCCCTGTACTCAGCCTCTTCCTCTGTTCCCAAGCCACCAGAAGAACAGGCCTTAGCACTCTGATGATCTAGCTTGCTGGAGCAGACAGAGCCAATCACTGGCTAAAATATCTCATGTTGTAAACCAAAATAAACTAGTCTTTTGAAGTTGATGGCTTCAGTTATTTTGTCAACGCCACAGAAAACTAGTTAAATAAAAACCTGAACTCATAATAATGGTAAAAGCACAAAAAAAAAAAAAAAAAAAAAAAAAAAAAAAAAAAAAAAAGAAATACTGACTAGACATGGCAGCTCACAGCCGTAATCCCAGATTTTAGGAGGCTGAGGCAAGGAGATAGTCATGGGTTCAAGGACAGGCATATGCCTTTAATCCCAACATTCAAGAGCAGAACAAGTATATCTCATATACATAAGAGTTTAAAGCCAACAGGGCTACACAGACACAAGAAAAAAACAAGAAAAATGTCAACAAAATTGTAATTTTCTTTTTTCCTTGAGGTGGGGTTTCTCTAGATAGCCCTGACTGTACTTGAACTCATGAGACCCACCTGTCTCTGCCTCCCAAGTGCTGGCTGGGGCTAAAGGTATGCACCACCACTGCCCAGCTTTCATGGTAATTTTTCAAAGCATATTCTTCCTCTTTAAACATTTTAGAACTTAAAAGAGTAGGTAAATACACTAGAAGAGAAATTCACTCTTCATTAGAGAAATAATCCTTGGCCCAAGTGGGTAGACTAATAGCATTCCTACAGTAGAAAGCAGAAGGAAATAAAGGGGAAGCTGCCTGGAAACGAAGAGCCCTCACACTGACACATTACCTCTTTCATCCTGAAGAAAGCCTTCAGTGTCAACAAGGAGTCTGAGCCTGCTTGATGCTGCCTTCCAATTCTCTGCAAATCCAACTGGTCAGCCACCTCCTGAAGACCTCCCTAGAGGACAGAAAACAAGAGATGTCACATACCAACACTATTCTGAACTCAAGTAAGACTACTCATGAGTCCATTTAGCAGTGGGCCATTCATCTAACAAGCCTCAGTAGGTAGACATTTTTCAGATTTTCACTCTCCTTCCCAAACAATACACTATGTGCTTGCAGAGATGAGAAGACAACTTTCCCAAGTCAGTTCTCTCCTACCACAAGGGTTACAGAGATCAAACTCAGGTCCATCAAGTTTGGCAGCAGGCACCTTCACCCACTCAGCCATCTCACAGGTCCAACTTCTTGAACTTTTTGTTTTGTTTTTCAGAAACACGGTTTCTCTGTGTAGCCCTGGCTGTCCTATAGAACTCACTCTGTGGACCAGGCTGGCCTCAAATTCACAGAGATCTGCCTGCCTCTGCCTTCCAGGTGCTGGGATTAAAGGCATGCAATACCACCATCGGGCCTTCTTAAACTTTTAAAGTTTAAAAAAAAAAAAAAAAAAACCTTGGAGAATGTGGGACAGTGCAGGACTGTCATAACATACTGCACATGACTTCATGTCACCAACTGCTTTGTGAGGTTCTCAGGCAGCCAGCCTCAAGATACAAGAAATAGGGCTCTTTTGATGCTCAAGTTCCAACAAAGACAGTTACAGAGGAAGCCCTGAGCCACTCAGCTTTATCGATACCCTCTTTAGAGAAGTCCAGCAGGCCTCAAACAATGCTGTTGAACTATGAATATCATGGGGAATGTTGTCTGTTACCTTAAGATTTTTGCAGCTCTTCATCAGGTATTTCACATCATAAATGGACGGAAAGAAAAGGTTCAGGATGTGGAAAAACTCATGCTCTTCTTCTGGCAACCGAGAATCAGTAAGCAACTTTACCATGTAGCCAAAATCATAACCACTACAGGGAAGAAAGCAGAAGCTGTCAGAGAGCAGCTCCAACCCAGCCTCAAACTACTTGGGATCTAAAATGCCATCTAAGGCTAGGGATTTGACCAATCAGAACTTTGCATCCAGTGAGGACACAAGGCAAGCTATTATGGGAAGCAAACAAGGACCTGAGAGCTTGTGAATTTGATTTATCAAAACTGAAGGTAAGGCTGTAGGGACCATGGAGAAGGATCAGCTAAAAGCAATCATGAGGATCAGAGTTCAAATCCCAGCACCCATGTCAGATAGATTACAAATTCCTGTAACTCAAGCTCCAAAGGGTCTGACATCCTCTCCTGGACTCCCTGGGCACCAGCCCTTGCACACACACATACACACAAACCTTTAAAAAACAAAAAAACCCTCCGTAAGTATTGAAAAGCTATCTGCCATTTGAAGTCCTTAGAAACAACAATCCATACCAGGCTGAAAACAACCAAGCACATAGCACCCTCCATCCTCCTGGAATACAGCACTGAAGGATATGTGAAGCAAAGCTTGTGTATGTGCTCCAGTGCTCCCTAACACTGGATACATGAGTACCACTTCTCCCTAACACTGGACAAAGGAGCACCAGCACCACCTCCAGCATCCCACTGCTGCCATGTGATGAATTCCTCAACCAGAGGAATTCAGTTCCTCTCCAATGCAGCCCAAAATCAGAAGGCAGAAGCTGTGAAGGAAGAGACAGAGGCCACAGTGCCCAGGGACTGACCTGTGAAATGAAAGCCACTTGACGTTGTCACAGAGAACCACTCCCGACGTCATGAGCAGCTCTGCAAAGTGCAACGTGTCGATCCCTTCCTCCTCATGCTTCTGGAACTGCAGCCCTGAGTTTGCAAGGAGGTCTATGGAATCCTGGGAGTACATATCCTCTCTGAAAAGCAAGGTGTCAGTGTGAATGGTTGATAATGAGACGAAAGCAGGAGAAATATCACTATCATCTTATAATTTGGAACACAGCATCCCTGAAACACAATGCAAATTGACAAATCTGTATTTCCTAATTACAGAAGATCTACAGCCTCTCACTTGAGGTGTTTTTTTAAGCAAATGAATAAACTAGACAGTTGTGTGTAAGCCACCATTTGAGTTCTGGGATTTACTTTTTTCTTTTCTTTTTTTTTTTTTTTTTTTTGTTTTT